TTGTTGGCATTCTTGACAATATTGTTTTGAGCAATTCTTCAATGAATAAAAGAAGATGGATCCATTCTTCTTTGGTTGAATATTCTTGCAAATCATTCTTTGAATCTTTGATTGATATACTATCTATTCCTTTCTTGAATCCACATCTTTGGTTTGGCAAAGTAAGACACCTTTGAACATAAAATTTTTTACATGGTGGATTGCACACAAGAAACTAAATACTAATGAGGTGCTCCAAAAAGAAGGCCATCAAGTTCTCCTCAACCACAATGGTGGATTCTTTGTAAGAGAGAAGCAGTGTGTCTAGATCATTTGTGTCTTCATTGTGCTTTTGTCTCAAACTTGTGGAATAAGCTTTTGGGTATTGTTGGGATCCCTTGGGTGATTCCAAGAAGTTGTGCCTCATTGTTTAGTATGAATTGTGATGGTTTTGGTTCGTGTTCAAAAACTAAGGTGTTATGGAGATGTGCGGTGTGGTTTTGTTTTGGGTGTGGTTGGAAAGAAATGGATGGATTTTTGAGGACAAAGGAATTTCCTTGGGAAGACTTGCGGTACAAGAGCTCTTTCATGGCATCTCTTTGGGTTTCTATGTCCAAGGAATTTGAAGGGATTCCATTTTTTTAATTAAAGATCATTGGATTCAAGTGTATGAATATTGCTACTACACAACTTCCTTTTCTCTCCCTTTTTGGTTTGTACTTGTTTTTAGCTGACTTAGGCCTTTTCATGTTCCCTTCTTTGTTTTTTGTATTTCTTGAGGATTCCTTGTCCTCTCATGTAAGTTTTATTTTGTGTTAATAGTATTTTCTCATTTCCTATCGAAATAATAATAATAATAATGGCTGTAGGGTCTGACAAGGCTGGTTATTTAACTGATGTGAGACAAGCTATAGCACAGACCTTTATATGGACCTTTCAACACAAAACATTGTTGGGCCACATTATAGCAGTCAGCAGAGTTCGACACATCAGAATGTTCTATCCTAACTATGCCTAGTTCGAGGGTTTGTTATCTGCCTAAACCAATTTTTATTGGTAGACGCATCCTATTTCTCTTCTGGTTGTGTCAGGTTTGGGTTCCTGGAAAACTTGATATCCATAATTAGTGGACAGGAATATGCTTGCCTTTTAGCATGGACAGGGTGAATCAGTTGCCGCAGCTGTATGAACATCACAATGGTCTATTTATGAATTCTTGTTCAAATACGTGTATTAATATTCGAGTACATGTTTTTTTACAGACAAATGTTTGGATTTAGAAAAACTGTGGAGTCATTCAATAAGTTGTAAGATTAAAGGAGATACTGGATTGGTTTGTGGAATAGAGTTTCAGCATGAGTATAGGAGTTGGGACAGTGCAACTGCCGAGAAGTTGGACATGGGAGTTTGTGATAACGTCCATTGTGACGTCCAAATGATGGTTGATTGCAAGTGTGTGTGGTGCATGCTAAAGAACCAAGGGAAATAAAGTAAGGATTGAAAAACCAAAAGCAGATGGATAATAGTTTTCTCAACAAAATGGAATAATTAAAATGTAGCTACATCTACATGTCTACATAAAGAAAAACTGAAGGAAGTAAAATGACAATGAAAATAGCTAGATGATAACTTATGTTACAAAAGGGCACAATTGTTTTTTTACTGCTGTCCCTTCCTTAGGTATGGAAAGATCCAATTTTTAACGTCGAGTGTTAAGACTTGTGTGATGCTAGTATTGTCTTATTGGGTGCGATCAAGCCAAATTTAGTTGGTCGAAGTGTCTTGCAGATGATAGCTTTGTCAACATGACACCTCAGTTTTAGTGATGAACCAAATGCCATGCAATTATAGTAAGCTGGCAGGGAACCTGTGCTGGTGAAAAGGAAAAGCTTAGCTGTTTGTTTAAGTAAATTAAAGAGAATCTAATGTATGCATTAAATCTGTACAAATTCAGTTGTTATGATGTCAACTTCAAATGCCCCTTACAAGGCACACAAGTTGGTGGCTTGAATCTTCAATGGTACGAATCTTTTGTTAAAGCCAACCTTGAGCGAATCTTTAACTGAAGACTCTTGAACCAAAATGGTACATTATTTCTTATTACCTTAGTTTCGTTTTCCAGTAAGTATTACTATATATCAACTTGCCAAATAGGTGTAATTAGGGATTCTTTTGGAAATGAGTTCAAACATGCAGAGTGGTATTTAACAATTGAAACTTCAAAGTTGAGCTGGTTTCTTTACCTCATGATGGTAGAGGCCAACTTTTCGACTTTTTTAATGTCATGTGTGCATGTGCTAGTGAGACTATTGATCATTTGTTTTTGCATTGCATTATTGCCTTGTTTTTGTGGTCCAAATTATTTCAATTAGTAGGCTTGAGTTGGGTGATTCTTAGGACATTTTCCTCTATATTAGTGGAGGAATTCTAGGGATTAGGAAAGCAGAAGAAAGGGGTGACTATGCTTTGTCTAATGTTGGCCACTATATGGGTAATATGGTTGGAAAGGAATTCAAGGATATTTGAGGATAAAGAAGAGTGAAAAGGAAGGTTTATGGGATCACATTTATTTTTTGGCATCACCGTAGGCTTATGTTTCGAAGGAGGTTGATGGCATCCTGCTTTTTTGTATTTTTGGAGATTGGAAGGCCTCATGTGATACATAGTATCTATGAGCTGAGAATTGTTTTTTTCCTGATCATAGATGGATACTTTGTCCATCTATATTATTTATTATTCTATGATGTATCAATTTTAAATTAATAAAGTTTTCTTGTTTCTCATTAAAAAAAAAAAGTTACAGAAAAATCACACTGGAGCTTCTGGAGAGTGATATATGCCAGTTGTGCACATGCCATCTGTGCAGGGCAACTTTTCTAGTCCAGTGCTATTAGTGGGTTTCTTTCCTGTTCCTTGATTTGTATCCCTTGGTTAATGAGAACTTGGTTGGGGACTCAACATTTTCTGACTTACTTCCAGAGTTTGGCTTTCTTGTGAAATATCTGTGGCAGAATCAATTGTCTTCATATGTAGATTTGCCTATGATATGCTGTTTATTATCTCTTTGTATCTAAGAAGCAAGTTTCTTATCCCTGTCCCTGAGCATTGAAATCCCTACCTGTGGCTTTCCACTCATTGGAAGTAAACAAGCTACAAGGGGGGTTGCTTATTATCTCTGTGAATACGACTCCATATTTTCTGATTCATCTAAACTTTTGTTGTTACTATTTCTAACGCTGATGCTGCTGCTTCTTTACCACTATCGATACCAATGTATTTACCTATAACTTCTCACAGTGATTGAATTCTCCTTGTAGGATACAACTTGGGCAGCCTGCAACTGTCAAGGTTGCTGCAAACCTTGTCAGATTACTATCGTACAATAACAAGGTTTGTTTTTTGCTATCTCTGTTTGGGAAATTTGGTAGTAGATTATGATGAGATCTTAGATGTTCACAATATTTTGTAATACAGTCAGATAGCAAGCCAGAGTAAAAATAGTCTCTCTTAGGGCCACCTGATTGTTGGAACTCTATCTGACGTTGTATCATGACTTACCATTTAATTTGTGCTGCCAAAAAAAATGCCAGCAAGATGTTCAAATTGCCTCGATGAAACTTTTTGCTTCATTTAATCAATTTGTTGTTTGTCAAGAATGAGATATGACATTTGCACTAAAACAAACATCAGACTCCTATCAACATTGATGATGGTGTGAACATGTGAAATAATTATGCTCTGGCAGTTCAATCAACCTCGAGTTTTAAAATCTCATAATATCTTTTCTGCATGAGTGAATTCTTCATTCGTCAGGATGATTCACATGAGTAGAAGTCCAAAGGGGAGTTCTTGCATAGTTTCTTGATGAATTTTGGTTATTAAAAAAGAATAAATCAATAGATACCTTATAAAGTTAAAAAGTATTTAAAGCAAGATAATTTTGGGGGAAAGTATGATGAGTTGTACGATAAAACCTAAGGTGTACTTTTACAAACTGTCTATGTAAGAGACTAAGAGCTAACTCTCTTAAACTTTCTGATTGTTTTTTAAGCTAAAGATAGTTACTGTGCTATCATTCGTTAGCGAAAACAGAATCTTACTTCATAAGCAAACCAAATATTCCCTTTTGTTTTTTGTTTTCCTTCACTTGGGACTGTCAAATCATATTGGCTTAACATCGAGTTCGGTGAAAAAAAACGTGATCAGGTATTTGAAGATGTAGAGTAGTTCTTCATTTACATGTTCTAAAAATCCAAAGAAAAATACATACAGCGTTGTAATCTTGAAATATTGGATCAAACAGCTCAAAGCTTTAGGGGTCGTTTGGTAATGTTTTTGTTTTCGTGTCTTAAAAAAAATAAAAAACAGAGACCATTTTTGTCTTTGTTTTGTGGTAAACACTGAAACAGAAAATATCTTTGGGAGTCATTTTTGTCTATCAAATTATGAGAATAAAAACCAAAAACATGTTTGGTAACTATTTCAAGTTTTATACAAAATATAAATAGTTGGGCTTTACAGCCCAAAAGAGTTGATTCTCATTTTCAATACGACACATCATTTATTTTTTAATGTTTGATACAATTTTTAGTAGTATTAATCCATCAAAGATCATCAAACTCATTCAATCTACTTTTTTTTAAGAAAGAGATTTTATTCCAAAGAATCAAAATAATTACAAGAAGCACAGAACAACAGTTCACAAGGAACATCACTAAGAAAGAAAAAAGCCAAATAAGGCTTTAATCCTTCAAAATACAAACAAAATTCTATACAACAAAACCTGAAAGCTCTTCCTTCAGCCATCATATTGGAACCCTCTATAGAAGAAAGATGCAGCCAACACCATACCTCCAGCCAACATCAATTTTCCATTCCCTGTCTTTGCAGAAATCCTGGAAACAGTCATAGATAACATGAATGTCATTGCTGTATTTAGCATACTGAAAATTAGACTTGCAATACAACACTGGCCCAAAAGAAGAGGACAAAAACAAACAAGCACGAGTTTCTACGAGCTTTTACTTCATAAGGTTCCCTTGGCGATTCCCATCCTTGTCCATCATTGATAACCTGTACAGAAAACAAAAACTACCCATCGTTTACAATTAAAACTCGGAGAAAGGGATTTCCTAATTCCTAATAGTTATATCCATCAAACATTATTTACTCCTTTCTATCTATGCATCAGGTTTTAAGCGATCTTCATTCGAAAAATAAAATGTCAAATACCTTTTTTAAAACTCCCAAGGCTTCACTTATGACCTGAAAATAACATAAACAAAAACCCAAATTTAAAATTAAATAAAGGGTGCATTCGAATAATAAAAAATGTCATAAAAGGATGTTCAACAATGGGTGAAGATAGCAGCATAGTTGCATTGCATTGCATCTGCAGAAAGATAATACCAACACAAACAGAAAACATCACGGACTATAATTCGAACTCCAAGCAAATGGTCGATAAGGCAAAACGTGGAACAGCCCCCACCAGAAAGGCCAGTTGCTCCACTAGCAGCACCATCCACATTCAACTTCAAAGCACCCCCATCAGGAGAATACCATTTCGCCCACAAGGATTGTTCAACACAACAAAACCTAGACTCCACTTTCAAAGCAGCCAGCACCTCCTTTCCTCTCACATCATCTGGGCTTTTGGGTCTCATAGCAACAGCTTGAACACCCAAATTCCTCAATACTAACAAGGACATAGTATATGACGACATTAAAACCCCTTCAAACCTTCTACAACCCAACCACTCTAATGCTTCAACAAGAAATTGATATCGAGATCTAAGAAAAAAACCACCAACAATCTGATTAAAAAATTCCAAGATTTACCATCACCTTTTCCCCATAATCACAACAAAAAGGGGTAAACATCAAACAACAATCTTTCGCCTCCTGCTTTGGAACCAAATTCTAAGCAAACCCAATTGAAAATATCAATCTGAAACCCCAAATTCTAACACCAAATCTCATAAAAAGAGACCACTATATATATAAAAAAAGACTTCAACTAAAACTAAGAAATACCCAACAACAAATGGATCTAAAATATCGAACCTAAAACTCCAATCTAACAACGAAAAATACCAAATAGCCAAAGAATAAATTCAAAAGTTTTCGGCACATAAAAGTCTAATTTTTTGCTTTTCTACCCAAATCAACCCAAGAGCCGACTTATCATCAGTTCACTTGGTCCCTTCATATTTATTCGAAATTTCCACAAATCCATACACTAACAGTATGATTATACCCGTCAAATCGACATACACATAGAGACTCACATATACAGCCCCACAAATCGACATCCACACCCATACACACAGAGACTCACCCACACACCCACAAATCGATACACACACACACACACAAAATCTAACTTAGATTTAACAGATCTAACTACAAATCTAACTTTGATCTAACTCATGTAAGAGAGTAGCAGAGACAGACCTTTGGTCTTCGTTGTACAGATAGGAGAGAGACCTTTGATCTTCGTTACCGAGAGAGAGCCGAGAGAGAGGTCTGACGAGTCTTGTTGCACAGACGAAGAAGCGAGCGAGAGAGAGAGTGATAGAGACAGAGAGTCGATGGAGAATGAAGTGAGAGTCTCGTTGCACAAAAAAGGGGAGAGAATGAAATGAGTTTTTTATACTTTAACAAAAAAAAAGATATGTTTTGCTCCTAAGAAGAGTCGAAGCTTGGATCTCATTAATTCCCCCAACCCTCGCGTGTGTTGTCTCTGTTTTTCTTGTTTATTGGAACATCTTTATTTTGTTCCTATTTTTATTTTTGACAAAAAATGAAAACAAAAACACAAACACAAGACAAAGACAGTAAACAAACAACCCCTTATAGTTTTGGTTAGTAAATTTGACTATTCTAAAGGCAGTTCTGTAGTTTAAAAGTTTACTTCTATTGCAAGAATGAAAAATATATGCAGCAAATTAGTTTGAAACTTCACTGCAGCATCCTCAGTTTATGTATTTGCATGATTCACACCCATTATACTGACGAGACAAAAGTGACTGATGG